ATGAGAACTACATTGGCTTGCCAGGAGTGACAATTTTGTGGACTTATATCAACTACTATAGGGTCTGACCATTTATACACTTACGTAAAGTACTGCAGAGCTTGCTGGGAACCATATTAACTACTATAGGGTCTGACCATTTATACACTTACGTAAAGTACTGCAGAGCTTGCGGGGAACCATATTAACTACTATAGGGTCTGACCATTTATACTCTTACGTAAAGTACTGCAGAGCTAACTACTATAGGGTCTGACCATTTATACACTTACGTAAAGTACTGCAGAGCTAACTACTATAGGGTCTGACCATTTATACACTTACGTAAAGTACTGCAGAGCCTGCTGGGAACCATATCAACTACTATAGGGTCTGACCATTTATACACTTACGTAAAGTACTGCAGAGCTAACTACTATAGGGTCTGACCATTTATACACTTACATAAAGTACTGCAGAGCCTGCTGGGAACCATATCAACTGCTATAGGGTCTGACAATTTATACACTTACGTAAAGTACTGCAGAGCCTGCTGGGAACCATATCAACTACTATAGGGTCTGACCATTTATACACTTACGTAAAGTACTGCAGAGCCTGCTGGGAACCATATCAACTACTATAGGGTCTGACCATTTATACACTTACATAAAGTACTGCAGAGCCTGCTGGGAACCATATCAACTACTATAGGGTCTGACCATTTATACACTTACGTAAAGTACTGCAGAGCCTGCTGGGAACCATATCAACTACTATAGGGTCTGACCATTTATACACTTACGTAAAGTACTGCAGAGCCTGCTGGGAACCATATCAACTACTATAGGGTCTGACCATTTATACACTTACGTAAAGTACTGCAGAGCTTGCGGGGAACCAAGGAGGGTGAAAGTTTTATCGTCAATATCATCATCGTCCAGGTCTGTGTCCGACACTTGACCGATGTCAATATTACCAAACAGCCCTATAGAAAAAATAATAAAACAGAGGTTATCAAATGAATTCAGAGAAAGCCTGTGACTATAAACAATATAAAAACATCTATTTTTAGTACAATTAATTACATTATTTCAAATAATTGTATCCGAAAATGATTTAATCCAAACTACTAGACAGTGTTCTTCTTAATAAATACAGTAAATAATAACACTTTATGTTTTAAACTGTACAACTTCATCTTTCTTAATCAAATGCTCAATACATGACCTTACAAATGAAAAGCTCAGAAGTCTCTGTCAGTGGTTTTATCCAGTGATATAGACTAAATGAGATATTGACCAATACTCTACCTTTATAATTATATACGTGGATGTTCTGATGCGCGGGGGAGTGGGGGTTATCGTTTTCGTCCCCGATCTCTATGGTCAGGGTACTGGTGGCGGTCCTCCCCAGCGTAGACTGCTCTGGGTGGCCTCTCATGTCCGTCATTTTGATTGGGAGGTAATAGAACTTCTGGTCCTCACGGTTAAAGTTAACTCGTGACCTGATGGTGGCTAGTCCATTTCCATTATCTCCCGCTATCAAAGATGAAATCAAACAGCTTGTATAAAATATTCTCCATAACGGTCATTTTATCAGAAATTACATTATATTACAGCAATTTTGATTATACTGTCACAGTGAAAGATACAGAAATAAGTAGCCATAAATTAAAGCATATCCAGTTGATATATCTGTAACTGTAACTGATTTTGAATATAATCACAATAAAATGTTCAGTCCATAATTATAATAGACAATAGTCAAAGAAATAGCATGTGAATGAGACTTAAGGTATTCAATGTATAACAATCATATTTTGTACCGAAACTTTGATTATTGTCCAAATAATTTCAGTTTGAACTTTACATTGAAGTCTATGGCCAGTGCATATTTTCATAAGATAATGTAAAAATTAATTTGAATTTCAAACAAATCTCGTAGTGGAAATATGCATAACTTCCCTCTTTATTAAATTATGAAATAAAATGAATTATTTACTGCAGAAATTTTGAAAAGTCAAAAATTTCTTCTTTTCATCAAGAGCAGATAACTCTTCAAAAATTTTATATGTGCAAAATGACCATATCCTTACATGTTATCAGTCTTACAGTGAATTTGGTTCATTTCACTTTTATCGTCATCTAGCAATGTGTTTTGAACTAGTTTAATATTATTTGAAATCATTCAGAATCCCTTCATTAGACATAGAATACCTTATAATAAATTAATCTAATAAATTATAGACTTACAGGGACTAAAATCTAATGAGAATTTGTCACAAATGGATGCTATGCACACGGCCTCGAAGGTAAATGGGGCTCCATAAGGGGTACCATCGGGGTCCACTCCGTACAGAGTGGTCACCTGCTGGGGGGGACTGTTCTCCCTGACCTTGGGAACGGGGCCAGGGACAGCCCTGAAGGTCGGGTCCTCGTCATTAATGTCCTTGACATTGATTGTCAAGGTCGCTGTACCAGTGTTAGGGGGGATTCCTGTAAAATCAAGGCTAGTATAACAGCATCCTTTAAACACATCATTAACCAAAATACTGAATAATAACGATTTTATTTTTCCATGCAAAATATTTAACTCTATAAGAGGTAAATTTCAAAATAATCAAGATTTTAAAATTCGGTTAATCTAATTATCTTACACTGATGGAGCCCAATGAAACTAGGAGGAAACATCTAGGCTTACCTCTGTCTATAGCCAGGATCCTGACTACGTGTTTGGTCAGCGTCTCGTGATCCAGGGAATTTTTCAGTGACACTGTTCCATTGTCCCTGTTCTGCGTAATCCTGAAGTAATAGTCCGGCTTCTCACTGATTGGTTTACGGGAAACGTAAAAACTGAAATTTAAAGGAACTTTTATTTACCCATCAAGTTGTATGAAAGATTAATGTATCATGTCAGCATGAACCTGGTCATTCGTTTTAAATTAAGCTGATCAAAGATCATTCAAAATGGCAAGAAATTATTAAATTCATTTTAAACATTCAACAGTTTCTTTTCTCTCCAAGAATGGTTTTTCCTCTATCATGTTGATTCAAGCCAAACTTTGCACTCATTATCAAAACTTTAAATCTTTTAAAACTTATATTATACCGTAAGAGTGAAATAAACTCACTCAAACAATCCATTGATTCCCTCATCTCTATCTGTAGCTCTGAAAGTTGCCAGGATTTCCCCAATATTGAGATCCTCAAACTTAGTGATCTCTACGCTCTGTGGCGTAATTATCGGGATCTCGTCGTTCACGTCAATGATTGTGATCTCAATGTAAGCAATGTCTGTAAATCGGCCATCGCGGACTTCCGCTGTCAGATTAAAGAACCGCTGAGCTGGGTTCTCATAGTCAGGTTTCTAATAGAAACAAAATGAAAAGATGGATAATTAATAAACAAATTTATTTCAAAGTGACTTTTGAAGAAGACCAGTCTTAATAGAGACACTTACGGTGTACACTTCCAGACGCCCATCTCGCCCGTCCACCGTGATCTGGAAATGAGTTCTGTCGTTGACACCGATGAGGTTATAGGACAGCGTGTCATCAATGTCAAGGTCATTAGCCCGGATGGTGAGGATGAGTCCCTCCTGGGTCTCGGGAATCGTCTCTCTGTAAATCTTTTTCTCAAACACAGGCTCGTTGTCGTTTATGTCTTTAATGTTAACGGTTGCAGTGGCAGTGGCTGACAATGAGGGCACTCCTGCATCCTTGGCAATGACCTCAAAAGTGTACACTGGGTGTTTCTCCCGATCAAGGTCCCTCACCGTCGTGTAGACTTCCCCGGTGATGTTGTTAATTCGGAAGGCATCCCGAGGCAGCTGTGTTCCCGCTATGATTTCATAACTGACCTTGGCATTGTTACCTTCATCGTTGTCATTGGCAACAATCGTCATCACCAGAACATCTGTTATCACAGAAAAAAATTATTTATTAAATCATTCTCAATTTAAATGTCTTTCAAAACTAATAAAATTATTTTTTTTTGTGAATTACGAAGTAAATAATGTAAGTTTGATCTCAATAAATTGTGGTATTCTATATACCATCATCAGTATACACTTTATCCTTTAATAAATTTAATCAAATTGATTCAACAAAATAAAGTGTTTACCAGGGTTTGACATTTCATTTACTGAACCAATCAGAGAGTTAGCATCAAACTTGGGTCTGTTGTCGTTGATGTCAAGCGGGAATACACGGACTGTGGCGTAACCAGTCAGGTGTGACTCGGCAGCAGGCTCGTCGATAGCCAGGACGGTGAACTGGTACACCACGCGCCCGTCCGGCTTGTCGCGGTCCAGTTCGCCGTTAATGGTGATGACGCCGGTATTCTTGTCGATGGAGAAGAGACTGTTGATGACGGCATCGTCCTGGGACAGCGAGTACTCTATCAGGTTCTGGGGATTCCTGTTGACGTCCAGATCTGTGGCTTTTACCTAACGAGAACAAAACAATTGGGAATGTTGTTTAACTCATAAACTAGTATGTATGTTCACCCTAATAAGACTTTTAAACAAGTCATTAAAAAGGTAACTATACTTGTCATTTACCAGGAATTTCGATCTTGAAGCATCAATCTTTATTTCTATGACCTGCAGCTGTAGTTTTTCAATATTTTATTTGGTAGCATCCATTTGATGGATTTATCCTTTACACGAATCATTCCTTTACATTGGTCCTACACATGCAGACTACTAGCTAAATTAATTATGGGGTAGATTGGTAGATTTTTTCACTTACTTCGATTAGGACTTGGTTGTAGACTCGACCCTCCTCTAGGGTTCGGATGTCATAGGTGTTCTGGGTAAACTTCGGTGTGTTGTCATTGGTGTCTATAATGGATATTTGTACCATGGTCTGACTGCTAAATTTCCCATCATTCACCACCAGAGTCACATTGTAAACCTGGAAAAAATAAATAGTACAACGATCAATAAACAAATTCATGTACTACTTGAAAATATTCTTGCATATATCTATCAAATGTTTTAACAAAGCAAATTTAGTTCTTTAATTACATATTACCTGATTTCAGTAAAATGCCATGTAGCAAAGTAAGTAATGTTTAGGATGAACTTACATTGGGTTCAGTCTCGTAATCCAGACTTCCGGCGACATAAATTTCTCCAGTTCCGGATTTGACAGCAAAGAGACTGGAGCCGGACAGGGAATATGTGAAAGTGGCCTCTGTCAGAAACGAAAGTAAAGGTTACAAACAGAAAGTTAAAGTTACAAACAGAAAGTAAGTTACAAACAGAAAGTAAAAGTTCACAAAAAGAAAAGTAAAAGTTACAAACAGAAGACAAAAGAAAAGCTATAATCATTACAGTTTAATGCTCATTTCATATTTCTCTATGATCTAAAGATTCAGTATAAGATGAAACCCTATGGTGACTTATCATTTTCTGGGAATGAATCACTCACCGTCTAAATCCTTGGCTGCAATAGTAGTGATGGACTGGCCCGTAAACGAGTCCTCACGTACCGAAGCAAAATACAGACTCTCCTCAAAGTAAGGTTTGTTGTCATTAACATCCTTAATAGAAACTCTTACAACAGCAGAGCCTATATTTAAAAGAAAATCAAGTCAATAAACTGACATAGAACTCACAATGCTCAAAGAAACATTCTACAGCATCAAGATTATTGACATTATGTTGATAATGTGTCAAGTTTTCAAACTAGGAGTAACTGAATTTTATGATTTTTTGTTAAACTTTAAACACACCTGTATTGTGGGCCCCTGAGGTGCCTCTGGATGATGGAGCGCCATCTACAGCGTAAACCTTCAGGATGTAGAAATCCTTAGTCTCCCGGTCAAATTGAACTCGTGTTGTGATCATTCCAGTTGTGGGGTTAATCTCAAACTGATCTGTAGTGGTGCTGCCATCGGGATGGAGGGCATATGTTACCTTTGATTGAAAACAAATAAATTTATCTAAACAATAGTAATGTTTTACTGGCAACATCATCCAAGTTCTGGTTCCATGCGTAACTTATCAGGAAAATTATTTTTAAATGGCCACAATTGTATGAAGTACCATGTGGTATATATTAATTTATTTGATATCACTTGCAACATTATTTTTTAGGATTTGGACATTTCAAACTCTGAGTGGGTATATAATTTTTCTTTATTCTTACAACTTGAATAATGGAAATTTTTTTTCACATCTACTAGGTACATATTTTTTTAACTATGAGAAAATTTTGTACAAAGTCCAGTAAAGTAATATTGACTTTACAAGAACTTACCCTTTTAAAACTCTCGGTTTCATCAGCGTCTATAGCACTAACACTCTGGACCGGGGTCCCTGGATCCTCATTCTCGAGCACGCTCAGTCCTATGTTTCCTGTCTGGGGGTCAATGTTAAGAAATTTTGGAATCTCATCATTAGCATCCTCTACCACAATCTTTGGGTAATTGTCGCTGTTTATGGGTGAGTCGTAAACATTCTGGAATAATGAGATCATGGAAAAATTATTAAATAGAATTCACAAGACTTTGGAAAAAAATTACAAATTGATAGACTTATGCATCATGACTTCGCACAAAGGATTGCAACAAATATCCACATATATGAATTCCTCTGAATCAAATTTTCAAGTATGTCCAAAAAATCTATTCTTTTTAAGCAGTTTTTTACATCATCAATTAAATTACAAAAGTAATTTAGCTTGTACTGAATAAATTAAATTTTCTTTAAGATACATGCACTCACAGAGGCACGGAGATTGAGTGTGTACTCTTTCTGAGTTTCGTAATCCAGGATTTCCAGTATGGTGAGATTGACCGTGTCGGCACCACTCCGGATGATGAACTTCTCCGTTCTGTCCGACAGCTCTGTTTGTCCGTTGTTATTTATGACCATGTTGAAGATCAGGGAAGGATCGGGGATGTTGGTGATACGATTCTGGGCTGACAGTGAGGCAATGACAAAGTTCACGCTCTCTGACTCCTTGACCCTGTACGTCGGATTTATGGGGGTCCAGAGAGGGGGAAGAACTCCGGAGTCTGTCGTGAGGGCAATGTTTACAGTCACATCTGTACTTCGGGGTATAGTACCTTGGTCCGTTGCTGTGGCAACTAATGTGACGCTGGAATCCTACAAAAGCAAAACATGTACAACTTAATGCTATAAATGAAGTGCATAAATGTTCAAGTTATGGTAATAAATACAGTTTGTAATGCAATTCTATTTGATAGGAAATCCTCAAATAATCAATCAAATTTGTAATCATTTACAAGGTAAATAAGAAATTCCTTTAAATTTGAATCACGCTAACAAATTCTGAAGAAGGAAATCAAATTTTTTTATTGTTTGTTTTATAAATATGCATTTGAAAGATGAGTACATTGGTGTATATACTGTATACAATTTTTTGCCCTGTGTTTTGTCCTTTCACATAAAAGTTTTGCCCCATTTTATTGACATAGTTTTGTTTAAGAAATTATACTTTACATTCGCTCCGTTTTAAATTCGCCCAAATGAGAATAGGGCGAAAGTGGCGAAAATATTGTATACAGTATTAAGATGCTATTTTTCAAGAAAGGGTTGCCGCGTACTTACTGGTAGTTGTAGAGAGCCGGCCACTTCAATGTCTCCTGTATCCTGATTTATACTGAACAGGTTGTTAGGGTTAGACTTCAGGGAGTACCTGATGTTAGCGTTATCTCCTAAATCCTTGTCTGTAGCTTTGATTGTCAGGACTTTAGTCCCGTCTGTGGCGGACTTCAGTACACGACCCTCGTATTGAGATTTCCCGAACTCTGGGTTGTTGTCGTTGATGTCTCGGATGGTGACAGGGAATGTACAGTAATCGTCCAGTGGGTTACCTCCCTTGTCCTGTACTTTAACGGTGATGAACAAGTTCTTGGAAGACTGGGTCTCTCGGTCCAGTTTCTCCCTGGTGTAAATTTCACCTAATGACAAAAACAATACATCTCTTAGTGAGTTATTCGTAGCTTTTCTATAAACATAGTTCTAGCAATGCACTGTGGCCATGCTAAACTTCTTTTCAAAAGCAGATGTATGGTACTTTGAATCATTGAAATACATGTGACAGCCATCAGAGGAAAAAATTACCATACCATGTTTAAAGATCAAAGTGCCAAATTAAAAAAAAGGCTGTGTGTATATATCATTACCTTCAATGTATATTCTTACCTGTTGAAGAGTTAATCCTGAAGTAATTTTTTTCCTGGTTGTCGTCCAGTTCCTTGACACTTGTGATGGAGTACACCAGCTTACCATTCTGCCCTCGGTTAGGGTCGACAGCAGTAACCTGAAATACAAAAGGTATATACTGTCTGATTCTAAATATAATAAAAGTCTGAGAGACAGATTTTTAATACAGGTTTTCTGCAATAACAGATGAATCATGTATTCATATGACTTGGAAATTTATGCCAGTAAATTTTCAGGAAATTGGAAACTCTTGTTGTGGCTAAAGTAAAATAGTTTTATTGTCATCTCTCTATAAAATCTGCAGTTCCTGGGAATTAATGTTTCAATACAAATTTGTGTCTGAAATTTTTACTGATCCCCGTACCTTCTGGACCAGCACCCCAGGATCCTGCTCCTCTGTGACGGTCGGCGTATAATTACAATTCACAAACCGAGGCTTGATGTTCTCCTCGTCCTCAATGTTAATCGTGATCAGCGCTGTGCTGCTCCGGATATTCTGAGGAATGCCGCAGCACGACCCGTCGTCCGTGGCCGTCACATTCAAGAAAATCTGGTCCCGGTCTGAGGGTGGAGACTGACCCTGCCTCAGACTGATACGACCCGAAGACGGGTCTATCTCAAAAACATCACTCACTGTACGTCCACCTGTGGAAATCAATTTTTAACTCAATAAGATTTTGATGCTCATTTAAAGATAGTTGAGACATATATAATGAATGTGTCCATTATAAAGAAATTAGTACTTTTTTGAATTTAAGAAGCCTTCTGTTCATATGAGGGATTTTTACAATTTATTTTCCATGCTTTTAAAGCACTTTTATTTCTGAATCAGCACTTTTATATACAAAAAAAATCCTCATTATAGATTGGCTTTAGGTATAATACATGTATGTTAATTCTGACCTTCGAAACTGTAGGTCACTCCGTCTCCGTCCTGGTCCACTGCGCGGACAATGATGACCGTCGAGCCAGATGGGGCATTTCCCATCAGAGTGGCGACTTTATTGTCATCAAATTCCGGGGCTTGGTCGTTTGTGTTTGTTGTTGTGATAATCACACGGGCCTTAGCAGTTCGTGGGTTAACTCCATTGTCCGAAGCTATCACTTTAAATTCATAGTAATGAGGGAATTTTCGGTCGTAATCCAGGGTCCTGAAATAAAGTTTTCATACATGAAAATACAGGCACAGAGCAGCCAAAACATTTGTTAATTAAAAGATAGCAAGAAAATAAACACTAACAGATTTAATATGTTGAGCTCTATAGAGTTTGAATTTTCATTCTCTTGGAATGATTGTGAAAAACCTGTTAGTTCACTTCAGATATCCTACTATGATCTACAATCAATAATTCCGATGACCCAGCGTGACCTACCCGATCTACAACAAATAATTATGATGACCCAGCGTGACTTACCCATTAGTACGGATGACTCCCACTTGTGTGTTGCCGGCCGTAGTGATTGAGAACGTGGGATCGGTCAGGGTGTATGACAGAACAGTGCTGCCATCTTTGTCTGAGGCAGATACTGAAAGAAAAAGATTTGGTAAGTATAAAATTGACAGTCATTGCTGTACATGCATGCTTCCTTTACAAAAGAAAAAAATTTCCTTGTCTTTCACATATAAAAGGTCTTTATTAAATACAATGTCATGTACTATGTAGGATCTATGCCTTTTATATAACACTTCATTCAATGGCCACATGTATTTCAGAATTTCGTTTTTTAGACATACATTTATGTAGCTTTTAAAGAAGTCTGGTTTTAATACAGATGAATTTGTTTTGGTGGATGTACCTTCAATGACGGAGGTTCCTTTAGGAATGTCTTCCTTCACTGTGGCTGTGAACGTGGATTTACTGAAGAGGGGAGCGTACTCATTTCTGTCCAGCAGAGTCACTCTCAGCTTAAACACAATAAATATCAAATTAAATAATGTCTGAATGTTGTACTATGAATAGATGATAATATTTATTTCCTCTATATCCATGAAGGTATCAGAACCTTGATAATAAATAAGATTTACAAGAATACAATAAAATCAAATAAGACAACGCTTGAATGTTGTACTATGAGTGGTTGGCATTATTTGTTTCTCTTATCAACATGTAAGTCAGAGGACCTTTTAATAATGAATCAACTTAAGATTTACGTGACTACACAGAACTCCTTACCCGTACGTCACTGCTACCCCCCGACACTGTGTCTGCGGCTCTGACCGTCAAATTAAATTCTCTGCTGTCCGTCTCGTAATCCAGTGTTCTAAGGGTCTTCACCATTCCTTGGTCGATGGCAAACCTTGTAGATATCGCGGTGTCCGACTCGTACACAGAGTATATGATGGTGCCACCCACCTGGAAATTCTTAGCCTGGATTGAAACTTTGTTTCCATCCGCATCAAAAGCCTGGAATCTATCAACAGAGTTCAGAAAAAAAATTAGAATGGAATTTATTTCAGCAATCCTTGGTGCTTGTTAACATTTATTTTGTTCAATCAGGCTAATTCAGAATTTATACCTAGTTTCTATAATTTAAATTTTATGTATATTTGAATATACACTGTATATGTATAATTTTTTTGTTTCAAATAACAAAACAGGCTAGGCCCCCATGCATCAAACAATGTACAGTACAATTGTTTGTTTAAAAATCATTAGAATGGACATTTTCATTTCTTTAGGGGTAAGCATTTAAAAAAAAGCATTCTGTTTTCAAATTCAAATCTTTATAGAAATATATTTTTTTTTATTCAAAAACATTGTGTCACTTCAATGATTCTGAAAAGCAGAATTGTTAATCTAAATATATTGAGTACATCCTTCTTCAAATAAGTAACAAAACACCCACTTGGACCACAGTAACTCATAACATAACACAATTACCTGCCTGAAATGATGCCATACAATATTTTTATATAAACATGTAGTTTGGCAGGCAGATAATACTACAGCAACAATCATACCATCATACATAAATTTGTTAATTTACATTCTGGATTTCTGGTTATTGTGTAAAACAAACAATTTCTGTAAAACTCTGAATTATTTCTGATTACTTGTATAAACTCTGTATGTTAACAGTTCCAACCGAAACATCATGCAATAAACAAGAACAGATGAATGCGTTGTAAATTACTGAAGCAGTGCAGAAAACAGAACAAGAGGGAATAAACCATCTTCACATAGATCAGGTCAGCAGGCTGAAGATGGGAGAAAAGGGAGAAATTCTCTGGGAGATGATATGGATATGAATTGTATAGCGTTTATTTTTCATTCAAAATGGGCTTTATCAAATAAAGAAATAAATGACAAAGAAAACCCCATAAGCTGAATGAGTCAGATGTGTATTGGCTTGAAGATATTCTACAATTGTCAACTCTTGTTCCTTTGTTTATAGTTTCCATTGGCTTAACATTTACAAAGTAAAACATTTCCTAATGCATCAAGTTCTTGTTAACACATCTATTTGTCACGTTCTGAGAATTCCTTTTTATCTGTCTGTCACTACATTTTCCTTGTGTTTATACTGACAAGCAAGCTTTTATTAGCATTCAGGTCTTTAAACTCATCAAGTTAATTTAATTGACAAGTGATCCTCAATTTTACTCTTAATTACCTTTCCCATGTTTACAACTACTGATATACAAGTTTAGTTTAAAATATATCATTTGGATTCTAAATTTAAAAATACTTCATAGCTACTAACAAAGCTAGTGAAGTACATTGTCTGAATATAGTTCAGTATATTTTTGTATATTTTATAAATGTACATATTTTTACATAGTATACTGGAAGCTAAAATTCCTCTTGGTACTCAAGAGTAGATTCAATTAGTGGATATGTAAATTTTTAAAATCATTTTATAGTATACAGGTAAACATATTATTATATTTAATACATGTACATTTCATGTTTCATTTTACAGTTGAATATACAAAGTTGATATGAAAGAATTCAACTTTATTTCATTATCATTATAAATCAAATAAATTATTTGTTTCTATAGTAATGTAATGCAACATTTTATGTCCATTTATCAATGTATCGGTTATTATTTGTGAGTTTTCCATTTTTATTTCATATACATTAGATTGTTTAGTTCCAAACTGTAATTTTCAAAAAATCAAAAGGAACAGAGAAAACCTACTCTACTAAGTATTGTCACACAGAATTTAGTAGCAAATCCATTCTAGAGTCACTTGAAAACAAATATATGTTACTATCACACATGCACTTTTTAAAAATTTTAGATATTCACATAGCAGAATTTACCGTGTCTGCAATTGGTCCAAAATAATATATGCCAAAGTCATAAACATGGTTGGCAATGTCAATTATAAAGTGCATAAAATCACATTTATCAAGAAAAATATGTTACTGTTCATTTTACAAAGATTTAATTAAGGTTGATGTAAGGGTTGGGGAAGGTAAAATATGTGGTAGTCTGAGGTTATAATGTATTTAGAAAATTTCACAGTGTCTTGGATAATGTTATATTTCTCTGTTTATACAAATTCTACATGGGGAGGAAATAGTTAGGGTTTGTTTTGTACCTGTTTTCAGAGGCACTGAAAGACAACAAAAAGAAAACTAAAGGATAAACATATCACTGATAATTCAATTAATTTATCCAATGCAAAGGATGACTTTTTTCACTAGCTACATACATGTATTAAACATGATGAGAAAAAATAAAAACAACTAATACAATAACCAATAAAATTACAACAGACATAAAGAGAAAATAATAGCAAACTTTGTCTTTCACTTTAAAGCGAATCACTTGCTGTACGACAAGAACCATATTTATTAATAAAATAAAAATGTGTACATTGACTGATAAGGATCAATGTTAGATACTTACGCTTGATCTACTTGGTCCGACTCCTCAACCGAGGCCTCGTAATACGAGGAGAAGAACTGGGGCGGCCTCTGTCCTCGCCGGATGTTGATGTTGACCGGGCCGGTCTTTTGTTGGGTCTCTGCCTTAGAGTCGATGGCGTACACTTTGATGACATAGTCCAGACCACTAGTTATCACCTCCGTCGTCCGGATAACACCGGTGTCCTGTACAACCTCAAAATAAGGACTACTGCCAACTAAAAAAAAAGAATTTCAAAAGTGTAGAAAGATTTTTCTGATATTGCTTCATTGCATTACTATAGTACATGTATCAATATAGGATTATTTAAGCAATGTTGATCTTTACAACGCGGGTTCGAATCCCACTGTGGGACGTGGAGACAGGTCCTTCGGATGAGACAGTATAAACAGAGATCCCATGTCGCAGTAGGTGCTGGCATGAAAAAGATCCCTGATGTTCAATCGACCTATGTGCTGAGTATAGGACAAAATTTGCAGCTCTCCACCAGCAAGTGGTGGTGTCTCCATATGAGTGAAATATCCTCGAAAGGGACGTTAAGCAATATACAATAAATCAATCTAACATTAACATGATTAAGAAGCTTAATAACGTACCATTCTCTTTGAAGTACTTGACAGCACCTGGACCCCCGTCAACATCCTCCGCCTGGATCTGGAATACGGACACCCCCGCCTGAGCATCGGTTGCCACAACAGCCAGGTAGGGGACGGGCTTTGTGATAAATCGGGGAGGTTCATCATTCACATCTTGTACATTAGCAGTCACCTCTACTTGCTGCAAAACTGTAAGACGGAAATTATTAATTTACAAACAATACAGTATATCCTTTGAAAAATTATCAAAATTATTTAATACATGTTGGTGAAATCTAATAAATTAAGATTATTAATTTCTTTAGAACTTCATATTTAGTAATTTACCAGTAGTTCTAAATATCTGACGTTTTCCTGGCTTTTTTTGCAATTTTCATATTTTACGTGCCAGGAAAACGTCAGATATTTCACAGCTGTAAGTGAAATTCTATTGACAGTGGATGGTGATCAGTTATCAATTATGAAGCCAGAGTTCAACCAGTGTCAACCGTCTAAATGAAGGTTCAATATATTCAGTTAACATGATGAGGAGAAATACTGCGACCTAAAACATTAGCAGTCAAGGTGATTGTATAATGTTCCAAACTTAATTAATCTGTGATTAACTGTTAGGATAAATTAAAAAGAATGAAATCATTTGCATATTAACATTAAAAGTTATTTACATTCCGGTCTTAGGATAGTTGACACGGAGGATGCAGCAGATCAAAACCAACAGGAAAAGAAAGAGAGGATGCTAAATTTCAAACGATGACGGAAGCGTGAAGATATCCGGAAATTAATAACCGACCGCTAAACTCGCTAAGATTTTTTTTCATTCTTTTATTTTTCTTTTTATAAATGCCAATAAGAATTATTTTTACTCATTCAGTATAAATTGCTTCTGACTCTCACTTACACGTCTAAGTTGATTTGAAGAAAAAAAATAGAGGTGATCAAATAGACAAAAACTTTTCTTTTTAACACTATAGAAATTATCACAAAATATAATCTTTTAAATTTTCTATTACAAAGACATTTTAGATTGCACTTAATCACTTGTTAAGACGTGCAGTGAACCAAGACGGAAGTCACATTTTTTCTGCATGTTTCGAGTTTCATTAGAAAGGAATGTGTTTTGATTACGTATTATTGCGTTTCCAAATTTAAACATTAAATAAACTCTTTCATTCCTTATTTACAAAGTGATTGACATGTGAAAGACTTTCTGTTCAACAAACAATAGTTACTATGAAAAAAGAAAGACTTCTACTCTGACTCTGAGCATCGGAAATTGAGAGAAAAAAAATAGTGGGGGCAGTTTTTCTTTATATACTGAAGTCTTGATCAAAAATACATTATTTCTCAAAAATTTGCTATATTTTGAGATCAAGTAACATTTTCTCTCTCCCGCTTTCTCTCTCCATTTATAAAAGCTATAAGATCTATATATATGCATTTTGTGAAATATTTTAACACGGATCGACATAATTATATCTCTTGAAAACGGCATGAATTTATACAAAGAATCTCATTTTAATTATGTTCACCTTTTACAATAAAAAAAGTTTCTTTTATCAATATTCTGTCGGAGGGTAAAACCTAACCCGTTAGGACACAATAATTATAAGCTTTATATTGATATGGTCATTTTATTGTGGCTCACCAGACAGGGCGATTATACACCTTTACATTACTTATTTTTACAACACGCACGTGTTAGAGAAAGTGTAACCTATCTGATATTTGTCACATATAAATCAATGATCTCTTTGTCTACGTATAAAGCAGTCTAACTTTGTCCAAAATTGTTTAGCGTAATAAAGTATCTATTTCAATTTTTCGTATAAAATTTCGCCTACATAGATTTAATCCATCAAATTTCTAAAATTCAATATCCGTTATTAAGGTGTCAAAAGTATCTGAATAATTAATGGCTTGTTTTATAAAACAGGGGGTATTCAATGTTTCATCTGATGCTGGGGTCAGTCCACTGCACCGACAGTACGACACGCAAAGACGTATCCACTTCAAATATTCGAACTGGTTGACAGGAAATTCTCTGAATGGCCTCTTGGTCAATGTTTATTCGACACATTAAAAGCTAATAAAAGGTGAAAATATTAAGCTTCAATGGCATTGTGAGTCACAGGGTGGATTAATACAACGACGAAAGTTGTAAACAGCTTACGTTTAGTCGCTGACAGGGTAATACTTATACCCAGAGTATCAGAGATTTATACATATATACCGATAGATACCAAATATATACGTATACACTAGATAAAGCCAAGAAAAACTTCAGCGGTTTGTGGCGGGGGGGGGGGGGGGTAGATAAAGTTAGAATAAATCCAGAAAAACGTAAATGCATTTAAATCTTCATGTACATGCATGTTCTAAAGAATAAAAATTGATGCTCCACATAGCAGTAGCAGGGTGAACATGCATATTTTTATTTTTTGAATGGATTGTTTGTGTTCTCAGAAAAGACATTTTATGGTGGTCACACCGATCAATTAACAGATCAAAGTAGATCATTATCACAGATAGGAATTTCCCTACAAGGCAGTTATAGGCAAGACACTGGTGTCCACTGATAGATCTATATGTATAGCCCACAGATAACGTGTTTACACTACTGGGGCTGTGTTTCAGAAAGGATAGAATTTTAGTGTCTAAAACATCGACATGAAAAGAAAACCTTGACAGAAAAAGTTTTTCCAGAACACTACAAAAGCCAGCATGCATTGATAAGGAGACATACAAACCTTTCCAGTCAGCTTAATATAAAATACAATTTGTATACATCAATCAGTAGTGTTCAGATTCCTATTGCATGGAGCTTCTCAGTTCTACATGTATTAGGGAAATTAATTGTAACCTTATTAGTCATGATTTAACAGAGTTTTCTCTACGATATTAAGTCTTCTAGTTGTTTATTACACAGTTTTAGAAGAATTATCATGCTATAATCTGATCCATCCCACACAATTCATCAAAGATTTTTAAAATTCTTGTCGATTGGTTTTGTGTAATAATAGTGTAGATATGTAAATACACAGTGATAGCTATCTACTTAGAGCTGGTATTACCTGAGACAGAATGGGGACGTGTAGATTTGTCTTCTAATCGTGACAAAGAGGATTTAGGGTTCTCATCATTTAAACAAACCAGTTCCTGAATCTAAGGATCTTTTTACTATAAATGATCCTGAAGGAACTAACCTACCTGTAACAGACCAATTTTACTATACTGATCTACACTTGTATTACTTGGCATCGTATTTTCTTCTTTTCTCCCAATGACAATATATGAAGTCGAACTTTTCAATATATTCCCACATTACAAAAGCGTTCTGTGGCCCTTAAGGTCAAAGAAAACGAATACAATTATATCGACACTTTTTTGTGCGCTTTTAAATATATATGACGAGAGGTATTTGAAAGGAATTTCTGTAGTCAATATCTGAATTGCAACTCGAAAGATTTTAATTAATATATAACGAAATTTTGAAACGGCCTTACTAAAGTCTGTTAGCCTGGTTATAATTATATAAGTATACAAACAAATCTGTGCAAAGAGTTTGTGTGCAGACATAAGATCTGTTTAGATGGTTAATTTTTTGTGAAGATTCCAACAGCGGGCACCTGCTATTTGTGACCCCGTTAGATGACGTTACGTGACGTAACAGATTATGTGACGTTATATACCTGTGTCGTCGTCCCGTCGTTTGACATCAATGTTTATGACGTGCTGCCTGACCCCACCGTAATCGTAGTCAAGTTTGGCATCAGATTTTAAGGTCACTTCTCCAGTTGTTTGGTCAATCACAAAAATGTCTTCCGGGACTGAAGAACGGATCTCAAACCGGACTTGGGTCCCCTGGGGTTGTCCAGAATCCACCGTAAACAGTACCCCCACCGCATTCTCGTCTATAGGCACCGTCGTCTGTTGTTTAGGAACGTTAATTTGTCGTTTGATTCGGAGAGCGTGAGAATCTACATTGTTTGACAGATCTTGTTCAAATTTGGCAGTAAGGTGTTTTGACCTCGGGTTATTTTTTGACACTGATGGCAAATTTGTATTTTGCATGTGAGGTTTGTCAACAAACAGAACCTCAATATTAGTATGACCAGTGATTGCACTACCAACTTTGGATAAAAGGGTAAAATAAAATGCACGGTTTGGAGGGAACTCTTTGTTCGAAACAACATGGATTTCGTTATTAAACTCACTGGGTACAATTTTAAAAGAATCCGAATAAAATCCCGTTAAAACAAACTTTTGTTGTGGTACTTTGTGTACAGGGATAGTGATGACTGGCCCTGGTTTGCCTTTGGTCACTACATACCCTGTATAGAGTCTCTCAGAGAACACATCTTCTGAAGGGGCAACATGCATCACAAACGTCCTTTTAGTGGGGACATTATCGTAACAGTTAGAGTGAGATATGACGGTCAGCTTGTAACTCTGACCCACACGATGGGGGACAGCCCTTCTAAGGACCAGGTCCCCGCGGTCAGTCAGGACAAAATTGTCATAAAAATCCCCATAGGGATCCCTGGTTCTCAGTTGTAGGTCAGATTTACTACAACCTAGTTTTAATATTTTGTACCCGATGTCAGCTTTGTTTGGAACTATAACAGGTATGGTGGGTTCCGAAGTCACAGAATGAAAGAGAGTGAACACAATAGTCGTTATAATACAACACATACAGGTAATATTTGTAAACTGTACAGACTCCGCCATTTTGAATGTGTTTACACCGTAGTACGGCGATCCAAAGCTAATTAGAAATCAATAACCAGGTAAAATCTACCTGATTCTGACCACGAAAGGTAGAACACAAAAAAAATATCACTATATCTCCAAACGATTGTCCGAAAATCGAAGTTCCTTCATATCACATTATGAAACTCCCTTCCTGTGTAATTCAAAAACGATGACAAATTGGTATGAATAATCTCCCACGACCGTTAGAGAAGTGAAGCGCGTCCTACCTGTGGTCACGCCTGACTGATTCTGTCCCGGAGAAAGCGGCCCCTGTAGCACTGTACGCCGTAACAACACCACATTCCTCAGGGAGTCCCAAAACACCGGCGTCTGGGTCAAGGTGTTTATACGACACCGGGAATGTAGTCCTTTTTTCATTATTCTGAACATTTTGACAGATTTTATTTGTAGAATTTAATCAATGTTTCAGTAGGGAGATTATAATTTACTTTACGTACAGTAGATCTATATCCGGCACATACAGTCAATTCAGAAAATCACTTGAAAACCGGACAACATTTCAATGGAATAAAATAATGTTAAATTCAACAAAAACATTTATTATAACTAAATAATTTTATTATAAGAGAGAACTTTGGTTGGCATTTGGATTTCAAAAAAAAAAAATGACGGAATTGATTTATATTTATTTCAAATTAAAAAAATTAGAGGTTGTTTTCTTTGGATCTATTTAAAACTCTTATGGAAAGATTTCAAATGAAATATATATGCATTAAATTTATTAAGATACTAGTAACCGAGCAAACCGTTAAGAAGCCTGTTATACACAACTTGTATAATTTACTATGAATTTAATTTTAAATCAAAAATTGTAATTTTTCCAACTGCAAAATGGTCAGGTTTATCTGGCTTTTCACAGCGAATGAAGACATGTTAATTAACCTTCTTTTTTCTTTAGTTTTCTAATATACTGTGTCATAAAAGACATCTAACATATTATATATTTATTTTTAAAGAAAAAGACATTACAATACTAAGATCGGGCTTTATTTTCCTTAGCTGCTAATCTGTAGCGTTATGGTTTTATATAGTAGTCTTATGGTCAAGCTAGACTACTATATAAAACCATAACGCTATAGATCTGCAGCTATATTTTCCTTCGCCATATTTATAATAAGTTACGAACATAAACAGATACAGAGCGTATGGATGAAATAATAAATCACCAAACATAGGTTAGGTTATCGTGATTCCTGTCAGAGGTTAAGTGTCTGTTGACTGGAGGTCAGAGTGATTGTTTGCTTCTCTTATCTAATGTTGTGTTAAATCTGTTGCTAACATCCCGGTAAAGCATCATAAACCAGAAATAGAGAGCTTTATCAAATGGAAAACAGCTCTCTATTTGTCAACCTTTAATTTATTATCTCTCTCGAGCCACAGCTAGGTTAACAATAACCATAGCAAACGTTTTCTGGGGTGAATCATATCTTTTTAAAAAGTTTAATTTGTGAAACGTAGGGCAACTCGATCCAACCACTGAGAGGTAATTTTTTTTTTAATTTGTAGATGAAAACCCAAGGTCAAGAATTCATTTATGTTGGCACTCAAAGAAGGGTCTTGTCACAAGAAACCGGATACTCAAGAAAAATGATATCATAGCATCAATACATAAAATAAGACCAAGGTTAAAGATTTTCTATAGTAGGTGATCAAACCCCATGGTCAGAGAAAAGATTGGATGTCTAAGAGGAATAAGCATTCCCATGGGCCAGTCACATAAGTCGCTAGCTGCAGAACTGTAGCGTTATGGTTCTTATATATTATACATGCAATTATAGAACTTCTCAATGTCAAACCTAATCACTATATAGTCATATGTTACATTATACACCTATAATATAGAATTGTAATCAATGTTATTATTATATTGTAATAATTTGTTCATGCCCCCCGTGGGCCCTTGATTGGTGAATAAACATATTTTCGTATAGCCTTTTGATGAAGTCAATCCCTAGATTAATATAGACTTTAGAGAAAGCATTAAATTTTATCGACCGAGCACGTACAGATCCCGTAATTGCAAAAATGTGCAATTTACGGCGCAAGATTTTTTGCGCATTGTTTGGGAGAATTTCTCTCCTTTCCAAAATTGGTATATCATCTACTTTTTCCTCCATAATTCTAGACACATTTTTAAAACTAAGGCCAGTATTTTTTTATTTTTAGGTTTACAAACCCGCCGCTCAAGTTTTTGAATTTTCAGAAAAAAAATAAAATTGAGAAAAACAGAATTTTTTCTTTCCGATGTCAAATTTGAGTCGGGATCTAGATTTCAAATTTACGAACTCGTACTTCCGGTTTTAAATGATGAAGGGAGATTTGTGTCTAGTCCATAGCAGCACTAAAGCTTGGTTTAATGTAAATATTTATCGATAGGAGTGCCATTCAAAACGTTTCACACGTTCAGAGAACAATAAAATGCTGACGACTTTGTTGCATAGTGACATGTTGGTGAGATAATTAAGTATCCGTCCGTATTCAAATGTAACTGTCTGTAATTGTAAATTATTTTCCACAGGTTTTAAACTGCCCATGGTAGCTATTGTCAGAGACATTGTTTAGGTTTCTGTCATAGCTTACAGTCTTAGCATCATTCTTCAGAAAAGGGTCGCTTATGCATCAGATGTAATGAATAAAACTATGGGAGAAGTTAAGTCCATTTGAGGAAGAAATAAACAATAGCCTAAAGAAATAAAATATTTCAACTTAGTATTCAAAAACAAGAATATACAAATATATACAGGCATGTAGTATCGTTTATGGCAGCTAGAAAAATTATTTTACACTTAATTGAAAGTCTTCCACCCTACTCCTCAATACTCTATGGGAATACTCCCTGTCTGTTTTATGAAAGGAATTATTACTTTTATAGGTCTCGAGTATATTAATATTTTAGAATAATTTCTACCTTACACACATTAAAAACAAAAATAAAGATATATCAAAAGAGATTTAAAAAATTGATTTTTTTTTTAAAAATCTGTATTTTGTCCAACATCAAAAGATTTATATCACTGCCCCCAACTGGTAGATGATGAAATAAACAATTAAAGGATGTATATTTCCCCTTTGTTACCCTTATGTGTCCAGTGGCAAGAAGCCTGTTAGGAGAGCATAAAAAAGAAGCAAAAATTAATGTAGAAAAGTCGATAATATATCCAAAATATAATTTTATTTTTTTTTTTATTTCCTCCTCCTACGGGACTTTTTCATTCTGATGTTCGTAAACCTAAAAATAAAAAAATGCTGGCCTAAATATGTATATTTTATCCACCTTCCCAACCCTTTATAGTCGTCTCTACAATTTATAGTCTTATAAATATATTATAGTCGCCTCTTGTTTTGCTTGTCAGATTTCTTTTTAGATCTGCTTAATTCTTTCTATGCCCCCTCCCAACTTTAATTTTTGATTATGGAATTTCGTAGTGTACATGTGTGTATGTGTGTGCACAGTACGCTTAGACAAAAAAAAAGACATCTTAACTACTAATACCAATACTTTGGCAGCTGTTTTTTAAAAATTTGATCTCAAAATTTAAAAAGCAAACTTTAAAAAATAGGTGATATGACCCTATTCAAAAAGGACATTATTGGAATGTGATATCTTTTCAGCTTTTTTCAGGTAAGTAATTAAAAAATTCTCTTGGTGGCCCCCCCTTCCCCCCTTTTCAAAACCTCAATGCTACATCACTGAATAAGTTGAATCAAGGATATCAGTTACTTATTAGGCAATATCACCAAATGGCAAATTAAATATAAAAACTGCAACTCAAAATCAGATGCATGTTGTATATGAATATCATATTTCAAAACTAAACTTTTCAAGAAGGTAAACTTTTAAAAAAAAGTATAGTTATTCATTTTTATTAATAAGATATAAGACATAGCTCATGTAAGGGTCATCATCCATAGTTATATCTCTGAACATTCAATGATGTACATTCTACATGTAATATCAAATGAACTAACTGCAAAATAAAGTATGACTAAATGTCCTTGAGTTTTTACCTCACATCATGAGGAGCAGCTGACCCTGAGAGATTTGGACCACTCTGGGGGCCTGGAGGAATACCCCGCCCTTTCAGCCTCTGGGTCTAAGTCCATAGGACGCTCCAGGACCCCAAGCAGTCTATTGACCCCACTAAAGTCATTTCTGTCTGCCTTCTCTATGGCTTCCTGGGCCATCCAGTTCCTAAGGATGTATCTTGGATTGGTTTTATTCATGAGAGACTGCCTTCTTTTTTCTGTGGTGCCCTCAAGTTCTAATCTTTTTTTGTAGATTATTATCCACTTCCAAAACCACTCATGGTCTGCCATTGTATTTAGAGACCAGTAATTTTGAGGAATTGCCTCTGTTTTTAATCCTAACAGATCAATTTCTCCAAGTTCTCTAAAGGACATGGTAAAATCTGACTTTGTATCCTCCATGATTTTTAGAAAGACTGCCAATAAATTTTCATCATCTTCTTTGTCTGTATACAACCCTAGTTTTTGCCTAAACAGCTTCATGAACTTGTCTTTATAAATGCTCTCATAGCCTTTCAGTATATGAGGTAACTGTTTCTGCTGCTGTTGAGTTAGTACAGGTTTTATAGCCTCCCCTAATTTTTCAAGGTTAAAAACTCCAACATCGGGTTGTTTTTCATAACTGTATCTTCCTTCATCGTCTGAAGAGTTCGGTACAAACTTAGGGTTGTAATCCTCCATGAACCCAAAGGGGCCGTAATCGATAGTAATGGAGAGCAGGCTGAAGTTATCAGTGTTACAAACTCCGTGAGTGAATCCTACGCTCTGCCACTGTGCGATCAGCTCAGCTGTGTCTGACACGATCCTACTGTACAGCTCCAGGTACTTATCCTTGCCTGTCGTATTTATGTGTAAAAAGAAGTTCTCGATAACAAAGTCTAAAAGCTGACGAAGAAATTGAAATTCCTTATTTTTTGCCAGGATTTCCAGCGAGCCGATCCGGAACCAGGAGTGAGCTAACCTGAGGATGACAGCGCCTCTCTCGACTCGAGGATGTCCGTCATAAAACTGGTCCCGCATAACAGGGTCATCAGACACCACTAAAGCTGCCGCTCGACTGGTGGGTATACCTGATTATAAAAAGAGGATCACATAAGAAAATTGCTTGGTTCTGATTAGCATTAAATTAATCTATTCTTGTTTTACCATTGCTAAAAAGTTTAGATTTATCTAACTGTGTCTCAGAACAAACTAAGTATCTACAGTAGGATAGTTATCATCTATCATGGCTTGCTTACTGTTTCTAGTGTCTAGAATTTTTTCATTGCAAAAAGACAATCTAAAGAACATGCATATACTGTAAATGTATTATATTTGACATGTACAATATTTAGAGGAAACTGACCTTTGAACAAGTTAGCGTGGATTTGATTTAGCACATTTCTTAATGTTCTTATTTAATTATGTGTACATGTATATGTGCAAGACAATTAGCATTGTACTTGAATTAGCGAAAGTTTCTTTCCGCCAGAGGCGCTAAAAAGAATACACAGCCAAACATAATACGTTTACAGTATAATGAAATTTCTGAATGTTAAATTTTTTTGATTTACAGCATATTTGTACTGATGCAGATTCACACTTGGAAGAAAAGACTATGCATACCAAGATGGAACATTGCCTCGCTGCATAAAAACTCCCTGACAGATGACCTGAGTACTGCCCTACCATCTCCCTGGCGTGAATACGGCGTCCTTCCCGATCCCTTCAGCTGCAGTTCCCACCTCTCTCCCCTCTGATTGGTGTATTCCCCTAGCATCACCGCCCTCCCATCCCCGAGCTGACCCGCCCAATAACCAAACTGGTGTCCCCCATACCGGTGAGACAAGGGGACGGAACTCGACAACACCCAGGATCCACTTACAAAATCAACAAATTCTTTTGTGGTGGTTACGTGGTCTGACAAATCCAAAATGTCATTTAGAACCCCCTCCGAATAAGACACAAGGGATGTTTCTGTCTTAAGGGGAATTGGGTAGACGACAGAAAATAAACATTTTGGAACTTGTCTCACGTAGTTTTGCAAAATTAGGTCCAGAGGAAAAGTAGTAGCTAGGACCTGTCTTCGATCGAATCTCCAGGTTTTAAAACTCTGTAGGATAGATGTACGGGGGCATTTATCTCTTAAGATTATGTCGAAAATGTCAAGTCTTTTGCACTCTTTGGACTTTGAATAAACAGCGCCTGAGTAGGGAAAACACAGAAAAACGACATACGAAAACAGGCAAAGTGAAAGTAGGTCGCTAGTTGACATGTCATCTCCAAGGGCCCACTCGATTGGGACCCTTCTAGAAGCAGAGGGGAATGTTGGAAGGGTTGGAATATGTATGTCTAAATCGAGTGTTCAGAAGGATATTGAATAGGATGGAATATTATCTGCAATGTTTTGAATTACTGCAGTTGTTGAATTTCAAGAATTTGAATCCGTTTTTTTAAAGCATTAAATGTTAGTTCGAAAGGGAAACTTGAGATAATTAAGAGTGGAAAAATTAATATAATAGTATTGGGATTTTTTTTAATTTATGTAAAGAAAGATTTAAAAACATCAAGTGTCTGAGACAGAAGAATATTAAAGAGCATGTAAAAAAAAAATAAAATAATTTTGGTCAAATCAGGGACCTATTTACAGCTCAAATCTGCACCCCATATTACATGGTAAATTATGAAACTGTGTTCAATGGTTGATTTTACTGCAATTACATAACAGAAAAAAATGCTTCTTAACAGAATTACCCTTCATACATGATAAAAATACTTTTTTGCAACTGTGTTTTGTTTTAAGTTTGGTTTATTTACAATAATAAAAATCCCCCAAGTTTTCACCAAACCGCTTGACGCCATATTAGAATGCTATCCTTCAGCTATCCTTCCATCTCTGACGTGGAAGGCTGAGAAGGCCTTCTAAGTCTACCCTACCAAACCAATCGAGCAGACAGAATGGTTATTCTGGAATAAGAAGGGTCCCAATCGAGTGGGCCCCAAGAAGTAAGATTGTATTTTACAAAGCGAAAATAAATTTATCTAATCATTTTATGGAAATATGGTAAAATATTCGACAAATTTTTACAAAATTAATTCATATCTTAAAATTTTAGCTTCCTTAAATTTCGAAACTTCACACTTATTCTGCAATTTAATAATTTTCTTTATTTCGTTTTGTAATTAAGTTTCTTTGTCATTCTGTCAGAAGAGGTAAAAGTAAAACTATCATGACTATCGGCATGTCGAGCACCGAGCACATTGAAGAAAAATTAAAATCTTCGCCGGAGCTGGCTGAATTGACCCATTTGGTAAGCGTGAAAAGGAAGGTGGTAGATAATAAGATATGTCAGATGAATGTGGTGTCTCTGTAGTTTATCTTGTAGGAGGTGGTAGATATGTCAGATGAATGTGGTGTCTCTCTGTAGTTTATCTTGTAGGAGGTGGTAGACATGTCAGATGAATGTGGTGTCTGTCTAATGATAATTCTCTGTGGTTTACCTTGTAGGAGGTGGTAGACATGTCAGATGAATGTGGTGTCTGTCTAATGATAATTCTCTGTGGTTTATCTTGTAGGAGGTGGTAGATATGTCAGATGAATGTGGTTTCCGTCTAATGGTAATTCTCTGTGGTTTATCTTGTAGGAGGTGGTATATATGTCAGATGAATGTGGTGTCTGTCTAATGATAATTCTCTGTGGTTTACCTTGTAGGAGGTGGTAGATATGTCAGATGAATGTGGTGTCTGTCTAATGATAATTCTCTGTGGTTTATCTTGTAGGAGGTGGTAGATATGTCAGATGACTGTGGTTTCTGTCTAATGATAATTCTCTGTGGTTTATCTTGTAGGAGTTGGTAGACATGTCAGATGGATGTGGTGTCTGTCTAATGGTAATTCTCTGTGGTTTACCTTGTAGGAGGTGGTAAACATGTCAGATGAATGTGGTGTCTGTCTAATGATAATTCTCTGTGGTTTATCTTGTAGGAGGTGGTAGACATGTCAGATGGATGTGGTGTCTGTCTAATGATAATTCTCTGTGGTTTATCTTGTAGGAGGTGGTAGACATGTCAAATTAATGTGGTGTCTGTCTATATAAGTGGTAATTCTCTGTGGTTTATCTTGTAGGAGGTGGTATATATGTCAGATGAATGTGGTGTCTGTCTAATGATAATTCTCTGTGGTTTACCTTGTAGGAGGTGGTAGATATGTCAGATGAATGTGGTGTCTGTCTAATGATAATCCTCTGTGGTTTACCTTGTAGGAGGTGGTAGATATGTCAGATGACTGTGGTTTCTGTCTAATGATAATTCTCTGTGGTTTACCTTGTAGGAGGTGGTAGACATGTCAGATGAATGTGGTGTCTGTCTAATGATAAGTCTCTGTGGTTTATCTTGTAGGAGATGGTAGACGTGTCAGATGGATGTGGTGTCTGTCTATAATAAATGGTAATTCTCTGTGGTTTACCTTGTAGGAGGTGGTAGACAGGTCAGATGAATGTGGTGTCTGTCTAATGATAATTCTCTGTAGTTTATATTGTAGGAGGTGGTAGACATGTCAGATGGATGTGGTGTCTGTCTATATAAATGGTAATTCTCTGTGGTTTACCTTGTAGGAGGTGGTAGACATGTCAGATGAATGTGGTGTCTGTCTAATGATAATTCTCTGTGGTTTATCTTGTAGGAGGTGGTAGACATGTCAGATGGATGTGGTGTCTGTCTAATGATAATTCTCTGTGGTTTACCTTGTAGGAGGTGGTAGATATGTCAGATGAATGTGGTGTCTAATGATAATTCTCTGTGGTTTACCTTGTAGGAGGTGGTAGATATGTCAGATGAATGTGGTGTCTGTCTAATGATAATCCTCTGTGGTTTACCTTGTAGGAGGTGGTAGATATGTCAGATGACTGTGTCTGTCTAATGGTAATTCTCTGTGGTTTACCTTGTAGGAGGTGGTAGACATGTCAGATGACTGTGGTGTCTGTCTAATGATAATTCTCTGTGGTTTATCTTGTAGGAGGTGGTAGATATGTCAGATGAATGTGGTGTCTGTCTAATGATAATTCTCTGTGGTTTGTCTTGTAGGAGGTGGTAGACATGTCAGATGAATGTGGTGTCTGTCTAATGATAATTCTCTGTGGTTTATCTTGTCAGAGGTAATAGTTATGTCCAATGGATGTTTTGTCTGTCTAATGATAATTCTCTGTGGTTTATCTTGTAGGAGGTGTTAGACATGTCAGATGAATGTGGTGTCTGTCTAATGATAATTCTCTGTGGTTTATCTTGTAGGAGGTGGTAGACATGTCAGATGTGGTGTCTGTCTAATGATAATCCTCTGTGGTTTACCTTGTAGGAGGTGGTAGATATGTCAGATGACTGGTGTCTGTCTAATGATAATTCTCTGTGGTTTGTCTTGTAGGAGGTGGTAGACATGTCAGATGAATGTGGTGTCTGTCTAATGATAATTCTCTGTGGTTTATCTTGTAGGAGGTGGTAGATATGTCAGATGACTGGTGTCTGTCTAATGATAATTCTCTGTGGTTTCTTGTAGGAGGTGGTAGACATGTCAGATGAATGTGGTGTCTGTCTAATGATAATTCTCTGTGGTTTACCTTGTAGGAGGTGGTAGACATGTCAGATGACTGTGATGTCTGTCTAATGATAATCCTCTGTGGTTTACCTTGTAGGAGGTGGTAGATATGTCAGATGACTGGTGTCTGTCTAATGATAATTCTCTGTGGTTTCTTGTAGGAGGTGGTAGATATGTCAGATGAATGTGGTGTTTGTCTAATGATAATTCTCTGTGGTTTATCTTGTAGGAGGTGGTAGATATGTCAGATGAATGTGGTGTCTGTCTAATGATAATTCTCTGTGGTTTCTTGTAGGAGGTGGTAGATATGTCAGATGAATGTGGTGTCTGTCTAATAATAATTCTCTGTGGTTTCTTGTAGGAGGTGGTAGATATGTCAGATGAATGTGGTGTCTGTCTAATGATAATTCTCTGCGGTTTATCTTGTAGAAGTGGTAGACATGTCAGATGGATGTGGTGTCTGTCTAATGATAATTCTCTGTGGTTTACCTTGTAGGAGGTGGTAGACATGTCAGATGGATGTGGGGCCAAATTTCAGACTGTGATTGTGTCCTCAAAGTTTGAAGGACTCCCTCTTCTTCAAAGACACAGGTAAGAAAAACTTAGTTCAGAAAATTAGACCAGAGATTTAACTGAGATTTAAACAGGTGGGGACCAGAACTGGAGATCAAAGTTTTACATAGGTCAAAATATTAAAAAAAAACAGCACTCACATGATACTTGTAGATACCTGTATATGGAAACATTCTCAGATATTGTAGATTTAAGTTCAAATCATGACCACCGGACGGTAGGTTGGGGCCGCATTATATATGGGGAAAAATCAGCAGAGCCGTACTTACTTAGGCATGTGTTGTAGTCTCATGTTGGAAACTTGTTTTGCAGATTGGTGAATAAGGTCTTAGAAGAGGAACTGAAAGTGATCCATGCTTTTCAGATGAAGACCTTGACACCTGAACAGTGGGAGAAAGCAAAATCCTCATGATAGGGGTCAGGAGAGTGTTTGATGTGGTGGGGTGTTACCCAAGGACTGTGAAAGACATGGAAGTGGACTAAAATCTGTTACTACACACAACAAATTTAGAAAGAACAATATTGTTTTCTTACATTTTTGTATTATGAAATTCTTATAGTGAATCTTATCTCAAAGAGTAAGGGTAAGCCACACATTTCTTGCTCTTTGCTGCGGCTCTAAAGATGCATGTAGTTCTACATATACAGAGAAAGTATGTTTAGGAACACAATTGCTTTAGTGTTCTTTTAAGTGAAATAAATTATATAAGAATTATTTGTATATGTATTTTCTGTGTCTCCAGTCATAGTGATTTGTTTACACGTACTTTTAAAACTTTCTACATGTAAGAGATGTGTGTTAGATTGCCTTACAGCTTTGTATTGATTACTCATCCTCATAACGCCAAGGGTCCGGAATCCTCAAGTGGTTGTGGGACCTGTGACAAAGTTAGATATTTTATAAGCTTGCCTCTCATGGAAAAGCACCAATCGCACTGGGGGCTTTCATAAGTTGAGATAAAATGTAAACAGAAAAAAATCATACCTCACTGAAAGTGGTTCAGGTTGTTTGTGACCAATAAAATGACAATTTGATTGGTTAAGAGATAGAACAAAGAATCGAGATTTGATATCTCCAGAAGACGTTCCTGCAGTCAGTGCTTAAAAATATTTAACCAAGTTTGTCAGGGGCTCCTCCTAGTGCGGACTGGGATCCTTTGTAAGAACATCAAAGTTGTAAAAGTTGTACTTCTATGACAGACATAATAATGCCTTGCTTGTGTAACAGACAATTTTGTGCCTCTGCTGGGGATTGGACCCGGGGCCTCTGGCTTGCCAGTCCAGTGCTCTACCAATTGAGCTAAAGGGTTGACCCACTAGCCAAAGCTAGTAGGATGCCATGTATATACTCTACCACATTGTCCCCCTCCAGAGAAAATGAGAAGTCCTCATCTCTTTTGGAGTGCCAACACCTCTGGGGTGAAGTTCTAGGGGCAATCACTCTCACCTGCCAGAGAACACCCGGGTCCAAACATGGGCACCAAGTGTAAAAGAGACAATTTTGTGCCTCTGCTGGGGATCAAACTCGGGACCTCTGGCTTGCCAGTCCAGTGATCTACCAATTGAGCTAAAGGGTTAACCTACTAGCCCAAGATAGTAGGATGCCATGTACTGTATCTTACTCTACCACACTAGTAAGAAAGTTTTCTTGAGATAACATGAGGGCTAGTCTGAGCCTTCTGTGGTCATGCCAGCATAATCAATACTTGTGTGACTGACTGCTCTACTGAAAATGACAATACACATAAACAAAATCTGGTTCCAAATTTATTTTGTAGTCAACTTTGAAGTAACAATTTTATACATCTTTAAGAAATAAGGAATGGACGGACTTAAGAAGTGTGCATTAATAAAATAATATATGTTACATAATAATATATCACACCACCACTCATTTAAAAAATTGTCCAGCAATACTTTGGATTAAGTACAAATATAAGATTGATTTTATTGTAAGGCATAACCGCTGACACTGTGTGGTCCTTAAGCTGAGCTGCAAAAACAAATCAATGTACATTGGTAACTTTATCATTGAACTGAAACTGTTATTTATTTTCAGATTTTAAATTGAATGCATCAGATACTGACATTTGTATTGAATCATGTCCTCAAAGAATGATTTTAGCAAGCAGTATATAAAAGTGTGTGTTATGGGAGACAACTCAATCATATTACAATGTGTTGGTATTTCTCAACTTTGGTTACCATGATAAAACAAACACAGTATTTAGCTAGCTGCTAAAAACAAAGATACATGTATACATAAATAGTTTATAGGATGCAACACAGATACTGGCAGATATCAATAGCTCTTTGTTAAAAGACAAGATAATCCACACGAAAACCAAAACTTGAATGAATCCAACTCTTTTAATCTCTGATCGAATTATCTGTTAGGACACACACACACACAATAAAACAGAAAGCTGACAAATATTTCACTGGACAAGTGATTATCTGAAATTCAAAAGTAGAGTTAATAGCGATGATGGTAGTGTTATATTTCACAAATAGATGCAGTACTTATAACAGTGATGTTACTATAGTGATCACACAACAGTCAGCTAGCTAGCCAGACATAGTGATGGCACACAGCTTTACTTTTTCTTTTTGCCGCCTCCCTTCTTCTTGCGGGCTTTGAGGGCCTTGCGGACTTTGAAGGACCGCCAGAAGGCCTGGATTGTGGTGGCGGCCTTGACCATCAGCGCCATTTCTCGCTCTGCGGCCTCGCGTTTTTCCCGTGCCACACGCCGCTCCTCCATGATCTGTTGGTACTCCGCCTCCAGCGTTTTGAAGCGCTCCTCCAGCTCGTGTAGCTGTTTCTTCTCCTCAGTGTAAACCAGATCTATCTCCTCATACTCATTCTGATGAAAAATAAAGGGTAAACCATTTCAAATGGCGTCAAGATTAAGATTTATGCTGAGGCAACAAGAGATAAAACAAACATTTAAAATGTTTATCTGTTTAATTATTTATGTCAATCAACAATTAATTTGCTCGACTGTACAGTACCTGTCTTTCGTTCATGTCCGTGTCATATTTCTGAATCCAGTTCTCCACCTGGGACTCAACTCGGAACTTTTTCTGTAATTGTCATCAAATTAATTTAAATTTGAAACATTAACTCATTTATTTAAAACACATAGTAAAAATCATGTTTTTTTTCTTGAGAACTGTATGACAGAAAAATGAATGTGTAAAAAAAAAAAATTTAAAGATGGTTTGAAGCTTGAATCTTCTTCTAGCCATATTTTTAGATCTACCTGGCAGCCCTTTATATGGCTCTCTGTATGAAAAAAAAGTACAGAAACACAATTTTATAGGATTTTACAAACCAAAATTATTTGGGAAGGCACAAACTTAGAATAAGGGTAGGCTGGGTAAACTAAGAAAAAACATTTTTTTCTTATGCCTTAGGCCAAAAAAAATTAATTTCTTGGTTCTCAGGCCCTCCCTCATCTCTTCCAAGGGCGCCTCATTGACCCTTTTTATTGCTAAATCAATAAAATAAAAAAAATAAATCACCTCCCTCATCATTTTGGGGGGTTTTGTACAATGTAAAAAGCTGCCTCATCATGTTTTGGGGGCAATAAAAAAGAAAAAAAAATGCCTCCCTCCCTCATCATATTTCTTGAAAAAAGGCCTGAGAACCAAGGAATTAATTTTGCATGGCCTTACAGTAAAACACTAATGTCAAACTCCCTCTAGATAAATAAAATATGTCATATAAATGCAGATGCAAAAATAACCCAATATATACTCTACATTTGAAACAATCAAGGAATGGAAAAGCAACCAAATATCTAAAATTTGATCCCTCAATTCTAATTCAGGTAACATACCTGAATTGACAACCATCATTCAACCAAGTCTAATTATTCTTCAATGTAACATTTTGCTGCTACATTGCTCACCATTAATTAAACCAATACTTACCTCAAAGTCAACTTATAACTCATGTACATGTATAGACTGTTAGCTAGCATTTATTCAGTCTTCAGTGCTAGTTTGATACACAGGTCAAAGGAGCATGGAACTAGAAAACTACCCAGTTACCAAGGAAGCAGTGCAGTGTCACTTTCAGGAAGGGGGATAACTCTGTAGATATTGCACTCCTTATCAAAGGTTTGCTAAATCAAACTGGCTTCACCTTGTTCTAAAGTAGTAACAATGTTTTTTTTCTGACAGTTTCTTAATTATTATACATATTAGTCCTAAACTGTGGATAAAAATCTTTTTTTTTTTTTCAATTTACAGGTATCAGTTGATAATTGAAAAATTATCTAGCTTTCTTAACTGATATACATGTACACAGATGAAGAATATTGTCGAGGAATTTGAGTTTAGCTCTAATTCTGTTAAGAGGAATGGGATACAAATAATTCTAAAATTTGTTGAGAAAGTACATGTATACATGCTAGAAAATTTACAACTATGATCGAGACAGAATTATGTCTGTTTTAAATTTTTGTTATTTTACCTTTTAAATACCAGTAAGTAATATTTATACTGCTGATGATGTAATATTTATCATAAAAATTTAAAGAGTGAAGGGGAAATAAATAAAGGTACCAACAGGAAATCATTTCGTCCTGCAATATTGCATGGAGTGATTTCATTCTTGTTGACATACTGTACATGTATTTACAAACATGTTTATGATTCCACCATGTATTATCAAAATTATTTAATGTTAGCATAATATTATATCATTCATTGGTGTAAATACATGAAAAGGAAAAAGAGGAGAGAGAATAGGGAAATTAAGTGGATAGATCTCTACTAGGGAACTATTTAAGTACTTTAAAACTAAAGAAAAGGTAAACTAAATAGCTCTCTATGTAGAAACTACTTATATGTTTATAGATCTATTATTGTGCAGCCTACACCAGTAGTATCTACACTACAGAATCTGTATATCTATACAGTGCAGCCTACACCAGTAGTATCTACACTACAGAATCTGTATATCTATACAGTGCAGCCTACACCAGTAGTATCTACACTACAGAATCTGTATATCTATACAGTGCAGCCTACACCAGTAGTATCTACACTACAGAATCTGTATATCTATACAGTGCAGCCTACACCAGTAGTATCTACACTACAGAATCTGTATATCTATACAGTGCAACCTTCACCTGTAGTATCTACACTACAGAATCTGTATATCTATACAGTGCAGCCTACACCAGTAGTATCTACACTACAGAATCTGTATATCTATACAGTGCAACCTTCACCTGTAGTATCTACACTACAGAATCTGTATATCTATACAGTGCAGCCTACACCTGTAGTATCTACACTACAGAATCTGTATATCTATATAGTGCAGCCTACACCAGTAGTATCTACACTACAGAATCTGTATATCTATACAGTGCAACCTTCACCTGTAGTATCTACACTACAGAATCTGTATATCTATACAGTGCAGCCTACACCAGTAGTATCTACACTACAGAATCTGTATATCTATACAGTGCAGCCTACACCAGTAGTATCTACACTACAGAATCTGTATATCTATACAGTGCAACCTTCACCTGTAGTATCTACACTGCAGAATCTGTATATCTATACAGTGCAGCCTACACCTGTAGTATCTACACTACAGAATCTGTATATCTATACAGTGCAGCCTACACCAGTAGTATCTACACTACAGAATCTGTATATCTATACAGTGCAGCCTACACCAGTAGTATCTACACTGCAGAATCTGTATATCTATACAGTGCAACCTTCACCTGTGGGATCTTTATGATATAGTGCTACAGAGTACAACATCTACAGGAAGTGAAAGGTGGTGGTATCAAATGGAAACACAGTAACACTGAACAAAGAATGGAAAAAGGAAAGTATCCCTTTTAACTTCTTACTTTTTGAAGAAGCATGAGCTCTATCATTTATGAATTTCTTCTTCAGTAATACATCCATCCCATCCCCTTTATTTGATTACAGTGCATGTATAAGGAAAATTTATAAGTACGTAGAGTGATGTAATAAAGGGAAATTATTGTCTTTGTTCGATGCATAACTAAATGTTTCCAATTAATACCTTCTAGGGCAGGTTCTATACCAGCATCTGAAATTTCTCTGATGTGTACTGACACATATTTATAATTTCTGCTCTAACATTTGACTGATCAGCAGACATCAGAGATTTCAGAGTTTGGTGGGAAGTGAGAGGAAAGTGAACACTACACTACGCTGAGTAACAACACATACTCTTCTCAGTTCCTGCTCGTTTTCTCTGTGCTCCATTACAGCGTTCTGAAGCTGTGTTTTCAGCTGATTTAGCTCCGTCATAAGACGCTGTTTTTTGCCTTCGCTGTTCTTTAGGTCGGCTTGTTCTTGTTTTTCCGCTTCGTTGGTTACCCTCTTGTTGTTCTCATCAGAAAACTTTTCAATTTGCCGCAGGTCTGCCTGCAACTTCCTGATAACAGAGTTCTTTTTCTTTATCTGGTAAAAAATTATGAATAATGTATTATAAGATGCATAATCATCTGGTGAATGTGTACAAACAAGCAGTGGTGACATTTCAAAAATCCAATAAACAAGACAAGATTTTTTTAGGGAATATTAATAGGAACTTAAATTTATAGGAATAATATTGTTGAAAAATATAAAAACATTCCATATTGATTTGATACAAAAATAATTGTACTTCTTCATCTTTTTCATCCATGGCCGCCTTCAGTTTTTGCTCCAAGTCATCGATGACTACGGCATTCTGTCGCTCCCTTTTGGACACCTCCTGGATGTACTGCATTCTCTCTTTCTCCTCCTCTGGAGTTGTCAGTAGTTTGTTCAGCAGGATATCTCGGAGGTCACTCATATCCTTGAGAAACATGTCGCACTGGTCAGAGCGTCGTGCCTGGGCTTTGATCATGTTCAGAGCATTTGGATTGGACAGGAAAGCACGGAGGATGTTTTTGCAGGAGCTGCTAAGTTGCTGAGCAACAAGACTGAGACTTCTCATCGTCCTCTCTGTTTGGCTGTCGTAGCTCTCCACGGACTGAATGGACCGGGCCGAACGCCCACTGGCGACGCTGCTTCTCCTTGATCCATCCCTGATGTCTCCTTCAGGCATAGGGCTCCCTGTAGGTGTTTCCCCAGCGGCCCCAAACTCCCCAGTTCTCTCCTCATCAAGCCCTTCACTCTTTTCAGTACTTGCAGTTCTAATACGTCTTTGGCGCAACTGAATATCAAGCTGCTGTTTAATCTCCTCGTAGCTATCTACAGTATTTTTATGAATGTCCAGTAAAAGAGATAGCTCAGCCCCTAGACTCACACGGAATCTTTCTCTGTTCTCCAAAATGAACGGAAGGATGGTAACAATCTCGGCTTTGCTTATTGTATCCTCAAAAACTGACATCACCCGTTGTGCTTCAATCGTAGAAATCTTTTTTCTTGTAGGTTCTAACGCTCTTGACGGGTCAAGACGTAGTCTGTTTCGAATTTTGTTTGATGGGCCACACATCTTACTGGTTGGTGGCTGTGGCATGTGGAGTTTTAAGGTAGGTTCGGCTGGAATAGCCTCCGTGATAACACTCGATACTTGCCCAGTCGCCATTATTAGTTTTTCCTTAATATCACTTTAAATATCTTTCGTAAATATCTTTCTTTTTCGTTAGAAATTAGTGTCCATCTTGTTTTTCTTATCGGCCATATTACACCCAATCACCTTTAATTTGTTGTAGTTTCTTACACTAGCAACAAATAGTTCCGGAGTATATAGATATTTGAAACTCTTTTACAGAGGAACTTTGCCCAAAAAAATTCATCTCAAGTAAAAGATTATTTTTGATTGATGTATATATTATTATGAGGTATCAGTTCTCTTTTTATCAATGTAGCATAATGTTTTGAAAATTTTAAAGCGAAGGAATATATAGAACTATTTTTATACTTTCGGAACCTCCATTTTTCATGTTCCGAATGTATAAAAACAAATATGGCGGGTAATGTGGAACGGCCTCTCAACCCCCTCCGTAAAAATCGTCGTACTTCTAGTCTTTGTGAGTATCATTACTGTATTTTGTTTGATTTTTAACATGATGATAAATTATTCTCTATCTTTGTTCGTGAAGAAACATCCACAGCTTAATATTTCACTTTCACTTCAACAACAATAGGTTTATCTTTCAGCAGTCAGGAAAATAACTCTGTATTTTCTAATTATTCCTGGTGATCAGAGTTGAACCTGGAATGTTGTGTAAAAGTTTTAAATGCATCCCACGACAAATAACAGACAGTTAAAAATCCTTTACCAAAGACCATATATAATATGTTTTACGGTGTGACCGTTGGGGCGAGCGCAGTTGTACACTCTAAAAATATTGATCAGCCACTTCAAACATCAAGCCGCACGAGAAACCTCGACTAGCTGTGACGTCACACGACGTCACGGAGCTCGTCGGAGCTTACGGAGACAGCCGAGCGTCTGTTTTGAACTATAGACCTTGTGCAATATTTTTGTTGAAAAACATTGTAGAGTTATTTTTTTATTTCTTTGAAAGATTTCTACAAACTGATCTAGCCTTTTATGCTTTACGTTATATTTTTATATTATTTATTTATTTATTTGCGCAAAGGACATTGGGTAGTGCAGGAATTCTGGGAATGTTGCACAGAGAAATTTGGCTGACGTATGTACAGATTTCAATCCGAATTTCCTCTGTTCTTACACGTTAGTCTATTGAGCTCGCTTCGCGAGCGTCGCTTCGCGACGCTCGCTGCGCTCGCTATTATATAATAAATAAAATTTTTTCCATCAATATTTTGCTTAAGATTTAAGAAATTAGAATTTTTAAGAAATGTAAAATGGAAATATTAGAACCCAAAAATGTAAATGGAAATAGCCCATGTGCCAAATACTTAAAAATGTATGATTGAATAGTTTCTTAATTCATATGTTTAACAAGTGTTTTTGTAATCTAAAAATAATACTTTTTGCACTAAAAATAACAGCAATTAGGGCTGTGCAATATTACCGGTATATCAGTATATTGCGGTATTATCAACCACGATAATATATCGTGATATGAAAATCAGATACCGGTATTTCACGATATTTATAAAAATATATAAAAACCTCCTTTATTGTAGAAACTGCTGAAATAATACTTGTAACTTCCCCAGGCCTTTTCAATCTAGTTAAAAAATACTTTGTCAGCTTTCAGAAGCAGATAGAGAGAAAAGAGATCTAGAGAGAGAGAGAGAGGAAGCTTTTCATTCACTGTCGCAATTTTAATTATCTCACTTTAAAATAAAATTAATAATAAATAAAAAGACTTTTAAATAAAATTATTCAGAAAGAAAATATATAAAACATTTCAGTGTGTGTATACCATGTGTACTGTGTTTCTCAAAATCTCATGGAATCTACACGATCGAGGATGAATGTTAAGTTCAAGATACATATTACAAATAAATGGCCATCCATGTTTTCACTTGATACAGTGTTGCTTTTTATTATTTTTTAACAAGTTTCATGCTATTTTAAACATCTTCATGTAATACTAGGAGCATGTATATTAAAACAATAGAAATAGGCCAATGCAGTTCCTGATCGTATGCCATAATGGGAAATTAGGTCGGGTCTTAATTGAAAACTACCCTAAAGACCAAACGCCCTGTTTTAAAATAGGTCACAATTTCTTTCTGGATTTAAGTTTATTCTGTGACCACATAAAATTTCCATATAGTATGTATTGTTTTAATCATTAAGTTACATTTTATGCTATTTCAATACAACAACCCTCTCTATTTCTCCCTCTCCCCCTCCCCCCCCATCCCCCTCCTCAAAAAAAAAAAAAAAAAAAACATATAAAGAATATAATATGCATACTTTTTTTTTCAATTTAAAAATACATCAAATGAGTACATTTTGTTTTGATATTTTACCTGGTTTTTGATTAAAAGTTATTATAATTATGTGTGCGATTAATGTCTTATCCCCCTTCCCCTTTAAAATTTATAGATAAATTCAAGTAGTCTTTAAACTTGACAGCATTTTAAACTTTCTGCACAAATTTATTAATGATAATTAATCTACAATATATTGCAATATTCAAGTGAAATATTGCAATATATCGCAATATGGTTTTCACTCGCAATATCCAACTCTAACAGCAATAGACATGCAGAAATGATATTATTTGATTTCGTCATGAAGAAAGCTTATTTGAGAAACGAATTGCCAACATCTTCATTTATAGCTTACAATGTTTACATGTTTTAACTACAAGTGATTGATAATTCTGTTATATTTTAATCATACAGCTGAGTCTGAGTATGAAATTGTCAATGACACGGGGAATATGGGATACGAGTTTCCGATCTCGGAACACATGTCTCGCCGAGAGAACCGGAAACTTTGGGAGCTGAACTACCAGGAGGCGGCCATATTTCTCCAGGAGGGAGAAAATAACGACAAGTTCTACACGCACCCCCGCAGTTGTAACGCCCTGCCTGCCTATCAGATCGCTCACCATCAGTGGTTTAAAGTCCTTGACCTTGTCGCAGCCCTCGGTCTCCTCATTCTGGCCGCGTGTGAACGTCCAGCTGTGCCATTTCTAACTTTACCAGTTGGGGTAGGTGAAAAAGTGGAACATGTTAGATAGATAAGTGAAGAACTGCAAATGAAACATGAACTATAAATAAGTTTAATACATGGCACACATATCTAAATAATATGTACACTAGATTTGAAATATTTAACAAGTTTTGTAATTGCTCTAATATTTAGCCTTGTTTTGTGTAAACATTGTAAATATTTCAACACTAGGTTTTTGTACAATTTTGCAGGTCCACGGTTCTCTGGAGATTTTGGGACAACTAATCCTGGCTCTACAATTAGCCATTAAGTTAAGGTGGCTGGGCTGGAAGACCTTCTTCAAACACAAGAGAACAGCAATCAAGGTGAATGCTCAGTAAACCTGTACAGGTGTCTAAAACATCCTTAATTTGCAGTAAAATGTTTAGTCACTTGTGAATATTTCCTTGGTAATTTAAATATTTGGATGAAAACTTACCAGCTAAATGAAATTTTCATAGCAACTAAAAGATATCTTTTTATTCAGATAAAATAAAATATGAGCATTGCTGTTTAACTATCGTCTACCTTTGTTTCTATTTTCAGTCGTTTACTCTAACGATCATGTTTATCGAGTCTGTTGTTGTTCTGATCCGTCAGACGAATCACTTCCGAGTCACCAGGGCACTCCGACCTCTCTTCCTCATTGATACGCACTACTTCCGAGGAGTCAGAAGGTCATGTATCCTTATTTCAATTTTTCTTACTTATGGAAGTTAAGTAAATTGTATGTAATACTATGTGTGTCAAGGGAGGGAGGGGGTATGCAGAAGGGGGATCAATAAAGAAGATTTTTATAAATTTATATGAAATGTAATGTTAAAAAAATTTTATCATTTAGTTTTACTACAAAATTTTAACAGATTACAGCTATGAGTTGTCTATATACTATATGTAGGCTACACATTAACACCAGTTTGTTGTTGATTACAGGATCAGCCGTCAGATCTTGATGTCACTTCCTCCAATCCTAGAACTTATATTCCTCCTCATGTTCTTCATCCTGATCTTCTCCATACTGGGTATATGCTTAAGTTTACATGTTAGCTTTTCTGATTTTGTAAGTAACAAATATAAACTTAAATTTGCTTGTTAGCTTTTCTGATCTTATTAAAAATTAGTATTCTAATTTCTTAAATGTACTTGTACTCAATGAGTATTTTCACTATTTTATGTTTTTTGATGTTAAATGGTTTTTAGTTTCATCAGATGTATATGATAATTGTTTTGTTTATTTAATTCCCAGGGTTTTACCTGTTTTCACGTGTACCCAATGACATGGTAAGCGTTTTATGAAGTATATAATCTATGTGTGTTACTAAACAATGTCTTTGATATACAAGTAGTTTGTGGAATTTTAATATATTCATAAAATGACAAAAGGACTATAGATTTGTTATTCACTATTTTTGTTTTAGTACTTCAGCACGATCCAGGACAGCTTCATCAGTCTGTTTGTGTTGTTAACAACAGCTAAGTAAGTCTTTAAACTTCAAGTGTAAATAAAAATTAGTAAAGATTGTAAATTTGGGATGGAATGGGTTATTTGGCATTATGAAACTTTCTATATTGAGCAAAAAAATAAACTGGAAAGTGAAAATGGTAGTCCTCAGTTTCTTTCATAATTGTTCTATATGTCTTGAAAACTAAAACAACTAATATCAGTCTTTGCTATTAGTTGTACTCATAATAATTAACAAGTACATGTGAATATGTATATTTTTGAAAAATTCACAACCACTAAATCAATGAAATACCGTTATTTCTTATTGAACAGGCCATGACATGGGGACAAGCACTGAAACAGTAAAATAGAATCAATTTTGATGGCATTGGCATTTATTTTGGGTTTTATAATGTGCATTGTACTTTGACTTGATGCAATTTTTTGGGGTACAAGTTGATGGTTTTTTTTAACATTGTTCACTTTTATAATGATTCTTGGATTTTGAAATTGCATTGATGGACATCGTGCATACTAACTGTTAAATACATTTAAATATGAAATAAAATGGTTTAAAGAAGCAATAAGCAGCAAAGTAACCACAAAAAAAAACTGTTGGTAGTGCTTGTGAAATGATAAACTCTGTATTATTAAAGGGATTGCATTACAATAGGATGTACCAGAAGATGTTTTTGCTCTAGCTTTTGTAATTTTTTTTTTTACAAATTGAAAAGGAATAATTGTTCAGTTTTTGAATTTTTGAATTGGGCATGCACTACCGTTATTTCTGATTACCTGTGGGTTCATCATTTTTATAGAGTCCATTGTGTGTGCTTTAAAGGTTAATGTAAGGTTATTTTTATTCTTGCATGTAAAATTTTAAATTGTCCCCTAAAACCTAATATCAGACTCCACCAATTCATTCCTAATTCTTGTGTATATATTTTTTGAAAAATTCACTCCCAATAGAAAATAAATCACAAGATTTGTTAATGACGTACAGTCTACATAAAAATATGGGTTTGATAAAACTCAAAGATGGCTCAACTTTGCCCTGCCTTCAATGGGATGAATAAACCTAACATATATTTTTATACACAGTCAGTAACACACCTAATAAAAAGATGAGATTCCATATATTTTAATTATTGCTCTTTATAATCTAATCTAATTGAGAATACAAATATTGCAGACTGTCACTCTGAAGTACACACACACACACACACACACACAAAAATAGATTTACCTGGTACTGTTTAAAAATACAATTGTTATTATTATATCCAGCATATACTTTTAAAAAAATTGTTACAGAACATGAGTACATATAAAAAATTTGATAAAATCCTTGTATTGTAAGAACTCTGTTGTTGATTATGATTGCAATGAACGTCTGGTTTCTGATACTGACTTAACATCCATTTTCTATTTCCAGTTTTCCCGACGTGATGATGCCTGCCTATGCAGATTCCCGCTGGAATGCTGCCTTCTTCATTGTGTATCTGGCCTTAGTTTTATATTTCCTGATGAATTTGGTAAGTTTGTTCATTGTGTATCTGGCCTTAGTTTTATATTTCCTGATGAATTTGGTAAGTTTGTTCATTGTGTAACTGGCCTTAGTGTTATATTTCCTGATGAATTTGGTAAGTTTGTTCATTGTGTATCTGGCCTTAGTTTTATATTTCCTGTTGAATTTGGTAAGTTTGTTCATTGTGTATCTGGCCTTAGTTTTACATTTCCTGATGAATTTGGTAAGTTTCTTTATTGTGTATATGGCCTTAGTTTTATATTTCAAATAAAAGATGAACTGTTTATAAATAAAATTATTATTACAAATTGTATATCTAGCATAGTTTTATATTTCCTGATGAATTTGGTAAGTTTGTTCATTGTGTGTTATGCCTTAGTGTTATATTTCCTGATGAATTTGGTAAGTTTGTTCATTGTGTATCTGGCCCTAGTTTTATATTTCCTGATGAATTTGGTAAGTTTGTTCATTGTGTATCTGGCCTTAGTGTTATATTTCCTGATGAATTTGGTAAGTTTGTTCATTGTGTATCTGGCCTTAGTTTTACATTTCCTGATGAATCTGGTAAGCGTCCCTGATTGTATATTCTATTACATCAATCCTGCTTCATTTAGAAAATTCAAAAAAATTGTTTAAACACAGAATTTTTTCTGAGTAACTGTTTTTCTGTACTTGAACTTTTTTCCACATTAATATTAAACAAGGGCACTGCAAAGCGGAGCATCCCAGTGCAATGAGCATATCTATAAATCAAAATGGCATTTGACATTGATCCAGAAGCAAATTACGTTACTTCTGTTTCACACACTGCTAACTCACCCACCCACCATTGAACAGAGTGATGGGCACACAATAATCTGATTTTAAAAATCAGATCCTTCATCTGCTCCTTTGCTTAGCAACAGTAAAAAAATGAAAGAGTGGATCAAGGATTTGATTTTAATCAGATTGGGGCTCACAACTGCATTATAATATCCACTCCAACTCCGTTGAAAGGGGATAATCATATTCTAGATTTATATTTCTGTTTAACTATTTTCAGTTACTGGCTGTTGTTTATGATACATTTTCAAATTTGGAAAAGAGAAAGTTAAAGAGGCTGTACTTTCACAAAAGAACGGGATGTCAGCATGCTTTTAAACTCCTTGTTACGAAACAGGTATGTGTTCAGTAACTGTCAGTTAACCCTAGCTAATGTCTATCTATATCCATAGTAATCTATAAAGGAGAAGAATCTAGTTTAGATGAAGTATTGCCATTCCCAGATTTTCACCCTATTTGACATTGTGGCAAGTAATAAAGCAAATCTAGAATGAAGAT